CATTTCAAATGGCCACTTCGACTTGGGATCCTTCCCTGGTAAGTCGTGAATGTAGGACAGCCGCCAATCAATAGTATTAGACTCTATCACCCAATCGACCAACCCATCTTCGAACTGTCTGACAGTGACTGCCTCTTTTTTGGTTTTTCTTTGCTTTGCCCGTCTTGGAAGATTCGCGAATGGACAAGTATATCGGCAAAGAAACAGACGCACCTAGTTACTTCTTGATATATAAAAGTTGGTAAGATATTTGAAGAGCTTAGTGGTTTCACCGGAATAAGATCTCGCAAAGGGTGCCGGAAGAATTATGAACAAAGTAGTGATGTTGTATGAGCTGATATAGAAATAAAGAGAAGCAGCGAGGAGTGCTGTTGAGTAGGGCGTGAGTGTCGGTGAAGCAATAGAGGTGAAATAGACACTCTGTGGTTGAGAAAGACAACTTGTGGCAAGCACTGAAGGTCTGCAGTGATACCATAAAAAAGTTGTACGAAGGCAGGAAATCACAAAGCACTTCGATTTTCAACCAACGCTGTTGTTCCCTCTTTTCCAACTTTCCTGATAACTTTACACTTTCAAAGTTACAATTCCTATCTTTGTTTCTTTTCTTACCATTATTCGCTCATATTGCTTATGAGCTCTTTTACCATACATCACCATTTATTCTGAATAGCATACGATTTTCATCGGATTTCCTCGTTGGTGTCCTCTCTTGCGACGCTGTCTTTCTTTTTTTTTCCTACTTTTCCGGACCTATCACGGCGGTAGACAATTATCTCCTGCGCTATGATTCCCGCCTCACCTGTATTCCTGGCGTATGTATGTATGTATGTATGTATGTATGTATGTATGTATGTATGTATGTATGTATGTATGTACATATGTATGTGACGTGCAGTCAAATGTTCTGTGAAAATTAATAAATCTGCTCGAAAACTTTCTAAAATGCGGGAAAAAAGTCGTGGGGTAATAGAAGTATGCGTCCAGATCCTTGAAGTTTGCACTAGGGTGGGCGGGGCTAAGGCTAACAGAACACAACTTTTTATAAAGACGTACTTAACATTTCAGAAGCGTTCTCTGTATAGAGTTTTCATCATTAGCCATAACCTATGAAATCATCATCACTACTTACTATTTATTTATTTATTTATTTATTTATTGAAGACGTTGCATAAGGCAAACGTGAGAAAATTTCTATCGCTAACAACACAACACAGCGTTATATGAAAAGAAGACTATACGAAAAGAGTCCTTATCTGTCCGTTTATCTGTCCCCAATTTGGTATTACCTTAAGAGCTCGGGATGCTGGGACTTCCGGCAAGATCAGCAGATCACATATAAACTCAAGGGAACACCGCTCACGAGGGGTGGAACATTTACCGGGATGGGCGGTGCGACAGGAAAACTTCATAGTCTCGCTCCGAAGAACCCACATACTGAGAAAAGTGGTCAAAATTAGGAAAGGGTCAATAAATCGGACAAACGAGAGTCATCTGCGGTAAAGGCGTTCTGGAATTTTTTTTGCAAAACCCCATAACTTTCCACAGGCTACAGCCAAATTCTCGGAATGCTAAACTCAGAGCTATTAAATTTCCTTTATGGTGATGCACGCGTTGGTAAGCGGAGCTCAGCTGGTATGATTACAAATGATGAGGTGGAAAATCCAATAGAATTATATACTTGGGACACCCCGAAAACACTCCTTGCAGCCTTGTAGATAGTTGGGTGATTAAATTCGTTCGACTTACAACCTTTCAATAATTTATATCATTTCAGAGTGTCGTTGAATGCTCCCGAAGTTGATGTTCGTCTTACCGTCGAGGAGATTCGCGATATCTCCAGGGCAGCAGCTGATTCGTTTATGAGACAGAGGAGCCTCATCAGGCTATCAAGGTATTGCGCATTTCCTCATGTAGTTTCATCTTCCCATACAGAGGAAGACTCACCAATTTATGATACTTACAGAATTGCTAATGAGAGTGCCCAATTCAGGGCCTCCGATATCGAAATTGAAAGACTGGCAAACGAAGTTCTCAGGGGCGGCTTGAGGAGTATTCTGTTCGGCTGCACCAGAGGGCTCCGTTTGCAGGCCTTTTATGTCGATATCGTGTGACCTGATGTTGTGCCAGTCTCGAACATTTGATTCTTATTTACTACTGATTCATACTTTTGCTATTTCATGAAGGAACTTGACGCACTTCCATCAAAGTTTATTGAAATTGATCCGAAAAGAGTTTATTGAATTATTAAAATAGCGTCATACAAGAAAGGACCATCGTTCCTTGCTCCTTTGTGCCCTGGATCACTGGCACGCGTTTCAAAATGATAGGACACCTAGAATTTCTTATATATTTACTTCACCAATTCGAACGCCCCAATTACTAGAACATCTTAAGAGTTTTCTCTCATTGTTTTTCGATTAGGCAGTACAAATGTTGTCGCTGGACTTGTTCGAATCGCAATATTGTCATCTGTGCTCTCGTTTATTCGGGTATTTGCGAATGCTCATTAAGCTTTAATAGGTTCCATGAAATATTGTGCGAAGTCAGCCTAGAAGTGGAGAATATTATTGAGCCGTTTGACTTGACTTCATCATACACTAAATGTATCGATGGATGGATGGTGCAATGCAGGTGGTCTTAAGGCCTGCAAATCAGGCAGATAATGTTGCTGCTTGACGAATGTCTAATGCATAATGCAATGTCTTTAAGCGGTTTGGACGATGTTATAAGCAAGTGAGAGGACTAGCTATGGGAAAGGGACTAGCATAGGCGTTGGCTATAGCGCCCATGTCAAAAATTGAAACGAATATCCGTCAGCACATCCCTGCAGATCTAAGACGGCCATTGTCAAGCACTTGCTTGAATCTGCCTCAGCATTTCCGCTCTAAAGCAGTTATAGAACAAAGTCGAGTTCATCTGTTCTGTTTCCGTGAACGAAGTCAAGCTTTTTCTGTGTAATCCGATGGCAATTGCTCATCGGATTGGTCAAAAAGCTATGGTAGCGCACTTGCACACCGACATGGCACTTTTAACGTGTATGGATGGCACAAGTGCAACAGGATGAGCAATCAATGATGATATCTCGCCTATGGATACTCTAGATGATATAAGCTCTGCTTTTTGCGCCTGTCTTCAGAAAAAAACGCACGATATTCTGAAGTAAGACTTCTTAGTCATCGAATGCAACTCAGTGTGAGTCAAGCACACCAGTAAATCACCATTCTTGCAAGGATACGTTCATGAAAAAAAGGAAGATATAAATTGAGTCCGCTCAGCAGGAACGGTGGGTTAATCATCGAGTTCACCTTCAAGTACTTGCCACCAAGCGGCTAGACCCCTTTACTGAAGAAGGATTCATAATGAGGGAAAGCCGTGGTGGAATGAATAAAGTGAAAATATCTGTCACGCCAGAATCTGGAAGAGTTACGTAAAGGGTGGTTGATGTCGTCAGATAGGTTCACTGAAGAATGTAGCAAATATTAAACGTGCTAGAAAGGTTTTAAAAAAGCAGAAGTGGACATTGGACTAATTACAAATTAGAAATCAAAGGTTAACTTTTGGAGCAATATCAGTGGAAAGCGCAGGTGTGTAGCTCTAAAGGCACCGCAAAAATTGTACAACAGAAACAACATGTTCGTCTTGTAGTGACGTTCTGCCCGTGACAGTGGTAGGTGATCTTCATGGACAGCTGGTTGATTTACGTAAAATCATAAGTCGATGTGGCGATCCTTCAACCTGTACATATATTTTCCTCGGTGATTACGTCGATAGAGGAACACAGGTACAGTCTTATCTAACACATCTACAAAGTATCACCTTAAGGTTCGATATAGGTCACAGTGATTACAGGGTCTAGAATTGGCGATACTGCTCTTTTGTTATCAGATGCGATATCCAGATCGGGTGTTCCTNCTTCGAGGTAATCATGAAGATCTGAACACGACTAGCACGTATGGCTTCTATGATGAGTGTATGCAAAAATACGGAAAACATGGAGAATGGGTAGGCTGCTCAGTTAGTTACAGCGCTAGTTTTGACAATTCAACTGTTATAATGAAAAAAAAAGTTGTAAAAAAAACTGAAGCTCCTTGTGCTTTGTGTTGCCTCAAAGGCACGTTCACGATGAAATTGCTTGTGAAATTTACTCTGCGATGAAAGTGTGGCTTTCAAGGGCAGCACATAGGATACCGTCGAATCGAAAAACGAAATCGAAACGAACGGCAGGGCATAAAAAAGACTCGAAATCTTCTCCAAGCACACAAAAGTGGCCGTGTTATGACGACCTCGTTAAGGTTGAATTATTTACAGTAGAACCCATACGTTGAAAATTCAAACAACTGGTCGTGACCCATGGCCAAGTAAACTCATCATAGGGCGACGGAGACGTCGGTGTCAGGCGTCTTGCTGTCTCGCACATGAGAGTACCAATAATCGGCGTTAGAACGCTTGGAGTTTGTCTCATTCTCAATTTATTTCATAAAAATCGTGCAATTTCTTACGAAGTGATAGTAAGAAACCATAACTGTTCAACAATCGAGGTGAAGATTCTGTAGAAGTCATAGTGTACAACAGGTATACATTTGGTATTTCAATCAGTAATTACGCCAATCGACTGATATTTGTTGGCATGGAACGAGACTCTTGCACTCCTCTGTTGTCTACTGAGCTGGACTTTTGACAAGAATTCATTGCTCTAGTGTGGGCTTAATGTTTTTTCTACAAAATCTCCTCCGATCAGGCATGTGAGTTACGATATTCGTTTTTTTCAGCCCAAAAGAATAGGATTGGCTCATGAGATCTTCTACCAGATATCTCAACTTCAAAACCGACTTAATCATCACGCAGCCTAGACGAGAGAAAGCACTTGTATTATACAAGAACGTTGGTAGAATCGAATATCTTGAGTTCAAAGCCTCCAGTCAAAGGCTAACTTACATACAATATATAGCGGTTAGTTCCCCTTACGCATGCCCCCTCCCTGCTTACTTCTCGAATCGTGAACTCAATCTCCATTGTGAATGAGATCTTTATTAGAAACTTCAAGCTGAAGCCAGCTGAACTCTACCATTAATCCCGTAGCCTGTTTCTAAGAGCCAAATGAGTATGATGGTCTTACTCGGCTGAGATTATCTTATGGTTGAGTTGGTATTAGAGGTCTGATGGTCAGGTAGTTAAGTTGAAAATGGCAATCTAAAACTTACCAACTGCTACTGGTCGTTGTCACCAAATAGCGTAATGAGATATTTCGTCGGATAATGAGTCGACTCCAGGCTTTGAGGCTCTCGAAGAAAGCAAGTGTTCGGAAGACCTTCAAGGACAGTGTGTGTAGTTGTATTGACAAAGTTATTCCAATCTAAGATATGTTGCCCATAGATTTGAGAAAAGATGGGTTTGCATAGTTTAGCACAAGTCGCAGCAAAGTCGAGTCGACGAGCACACTCCCTAACACTACAGAGTTAGGGAGTGTGCTCGTCGACTCGACCTTGTGACATGGGGCAATGTCACTGGCGACTTTTAGCTTCGAAATATTAGCGACGATAACGGCAGTCAGTTGCGCAGAGTCCAGCTGATCTCCCCTTCCTGCTGCTATGCCCGCCAAATTAGTCAACCTATTTTTGTGACTTTTTTGATATACGAGAGTCCTGAAATGGGACTCCACTTATTGAAACCATAGTTACTCTCACACTCGAGGAACTACAGTGCGCGTCAATTGCATATGCCATCCCCTATTTTTTCTTTTATCTGAGTTGTTAGGCAACATTGCGGGTTGAAATGTTGACCAACAATTGCTGAGTGAACAAGAGTCTCAACAAAGCCTAAACATATTTGAACGCTGCGGTAGCGTCCTTTTTTGGCGGGAAGATGACAATTAGCCGCGTCAATTGCTTATGCCATGCCATCATTGCTACAAAATATCTCAGGTCCGCGCAGCCCTACCACCTTCTGTCCAAAGCTGTCCTGTCCGCAATCCAAAGCAGTTCACCATGCCTAAGGGTCGTCGTCTATCTTCAACGAACAATGCCAAATTCTATCGCTTCGTCAGGCAGGCCATAGCAACAAGGCCATCGCGGAACAACTCGTCCGATCCAGAGGCTGCATCGACGGTTGTGTGAAGAATCCTGCGGCATACGGTCAAGCACACGGAGGAGGATGTCCACTCAAATTGACACGAGCCGACCACAGACTGATCGCTAGATTGGCTTCCAATTCAACCATGAGTGCCAATCAGATTCGTGCACGTTTTTCACTAAATGTGTCGACTTCCACTGTATTGCGAGCTATTCGTCGTCAAATATTCTTGAAGAGGGAGAGGATGAAGCTAGCTCCCCGTCTGACCACGAGCCATCGNGAAGCCCGACTCGAGTTTGCAAGAAAATTTTTTTCAAGAATTTGGAGAAAGGTGAGGGTTTTGACTCATTTTGGAAAGTGCATTGCTAAGCTCCTACATGGTTTAGGTGATTTTTGCCGATGAAAAGAAATTTAATCTGGATGGTCCTGACTGGCATGTTTATTACTGGAGGGATCTACGAAAGGAGCCTAGGATTTTTGCGAAACATGTATTCGGCTTAGGAACTAATATGGAATGGGCGGCCTTCTCTTCCTATGGAACGCTAGATATGGAATTCATCTCCACGCACATGAATTCGCAGGAGTATCAAGATATTCTTCAGCGCAGTTTGCTTTCTTACCTCCACGATCATAGGCGGAAAAGACTCGTTTTCCAACAGGATAACGCTCCTGCGCACCTCTCGCGTTCATCTTTGGAGTGGCTAGGGGATCACCATGTGGATGTATTGGACTGGCCTCTATGCTCCCCGGCCCTAAATCCCATAGAGTATCTCTAGGGTATCTTGGTGCGCAGGGTCTTTGCCTGGGGGTCCAGTATGACAGTGTTTCTTCGCTGAGAGCAGCCATTCTAAATGCATTGAACTCAATTCCAGAAAATGTAATTCAAAATCTCGTTGACAGCATGCCAAATAGAATCTTTGAAGTTATTCGTAAAGTAGGTGGTCCAACTAAGTATTAATGTTTAACCAATTGTGCTTTTTTCTGTTTTTTTCGTTATGTGTTGAAGTATGGCATATAATTTTGACGTGGCACATTTATTAAAATGAACTGTAAAAATGAAGCTGTTTTCCTGAACAGGTGTATGTCTCGTATATGTGAGTCTATGACACAGTCCACTGTAGTGCAGTAGGTCACATGTGACAGAAGTGGGTAGGAACCGAGATAACAGGAAAATGTGGGGGTGGCACAAGCAATTGACGCGCACTGTAGTGCTATGTGATAATTGATAATAATGAGCGGAAGCAGTCCATAGGTTTTTCACAATCTAAAAAATTGAGCGGAAACTGAGCTCAATGGAACCGCAGAGGAGTGCGAGAATTTCATTCAGTGTAGGGAAGATACATCTGATCAGCGTGCTCATTGAATAGTTTACTGAGCGATACACTTGCATTATCCTGGGGCTTCCTCTAGATCTTCAGTACCAATGGAGGATTGAACCGTTCACCACAACAGGTAGTAGAGTTAACACTTAGGACGGCAGCAAGCAGGTGAATTAGCAGGGCAATGAAGCATATACTCCATGAAAAGTGAATATTGTAGCATAAAGATGAAGAACTTCCTGAACTGAATAAAAGTCGAACATTTGCTAAGTATCCCATCAGAGTGTTTTGCATTATTTCTTTAACTTTGAAGGCTTCAGGTCTATCTAGCTCTGATCAATGCATTCAATCATTTGCCATTATGCGCAATTATTGGTGAAAAAGTGCTGTGTATGCATGGAGGATTGTCTCCACACATTGACAAGCTTGACGACATCGAGCAGGTGAGTTGTGCAAACGACAAATTATAATTCTTTTCTCGAATTTTCTCGAATTGGTGTCATTACGTGCTTCATGGTGAGTTATATACGAGGTTCTGCTTCAAATTAGTTCGTTCTTGGTAGAAATCGTCAATCATTCTACTCGAAAACCTTGAGTGCAACAAATCTTCCAAATAGTCGTGGTCTTGAAAACCTACATATGTCGCACAGTTACCATCCAGCTTCTCTGCCAACTTTGCCTTCATGATGCAGCGCGATTCACTACATCCTATCCTACTTATATAATTCGCTGTGTGTGTGTGTGTGTGTGTGTGTGTGTGTGTGTGTGTGTGTG